TGCTGAATGCCCACCTGCATCTTCAGGACCTTTGACTGTCTTAAAGAGTCCAACCTGTCAAATTTCTTTTGCACCCAATCGCATCCACAACAAGCTTTATTTCTCCCATGTTTCCTAGCATGTCAGCAGGTCCCACAGGTCCTGGTAATAGCTCCTTACCTTTCAAGACTTATCTTTAATAACATACCTGTACAAAATTCCTTAAGTTAAAACACTCCAAATGTAAATGATCTTGGCTCCACATAGAAGCAGACACTGCATAACAATATTAAACAGATCTGAAAGAATTGGCTTAAAAAATTACTTCTTTTGGTCAAGTGTCCAATATAGCTTGGGGCAGAGATTCTCAACCAGGGTGTTGCAGCTCGTACTGTGCAGTGCTAGTACTGTTAGGTATGCAAAAATGATTCACAAGATAAACCCAGGGATTTAAAATAGGAATCCACATGTTAAAACCATGCCACCCTGTTCTAGGGTTTCTGAGTTCTGTGCAACAAAAGAGTTGCTTTAGGATTTTTCTGTGATCAAAAAATGATTAAAAGCTGGCACTTCCCAAAGGAGCCTCCAGGCTAACAAGGGGCACCTCCAGTTGGAAAAGGCTGGGAGCCCCAAAGTGAGGTTTCTTCAAGGTGCTCATCATCAGACAATGAAAGCACCTTTGACTTTAGATATAAAAAGAACAAGTCAGGACTGCAGAGTGACAGCTCCTGGTGCTGCTAACCTGACAGCTAGTGGGGGGAGGATTCTTAATTGATGCAAGAGAGTGCTGGGCCTTTTTGAAACAGAACATATAAATAGGGTCCCTCAGCTGGCAGCCGGCTCATGCTACAGGGATGTGTTTGTTGGCAAACTAGGCATTTCCAACCAGGGGTTCAGTTTTACAGTCATGGAGGATCAGAGAGGTAGAGGCTGGAAGGGACCTCCAGAGGTCTTCTAATCCAACCCCTGCCTGAGGCAGGATCATCCCTATCCAAACCATCCTGTACAGTCCTTAATCTAAACTCTACATAAGACTGCCATCAACCCTGGCACACACAGACCTAACACCCTGCCACAGTCACAACCCCACTTTGATTCCTGCTTCACCCAAAGTTTATATCAAGCTGTCTAGCAGTGGCAGCAGCATTTCTATTCAAACAACATCAAGGGAGCCACTTGACTTCATGGCTCATTACAATTTATCTGATTTCTTCTGAACTCTTCATTCCACCAGCGTTAACCACCCTCTCTCCTTTTCGAAGGTCTTAAGCTTCAAGCTATCCTGTCTTCTGCAATGCTACTGTGAGGAGCAATGGAACAGCTAACAATTTCACAGCCCTGCCGACTATTTTTTTTTTTGCTTGAACTAAAAAAAATTAGCTGGAGGTCTGAAACATTAACCCAGATGAACATTATCTGTGGTGTGGAAATCACTTACCGTGAAACGCTGGGTGCAGTCAAGATCCTAGAATCATAGAAAGTGAAGGCTGGGAGGGAGCTCAGAAGGTCACAGCTAGTCCAACCCCCTGCTCAAAGCAGGACCAGCCACAACCAGACCATCCCAACCAGGCTTTGCCTATCCAAGTCTTAAAAACTTCTAAGGATGGAGATGCCACCACCTCTCTGGGCAGCCTGTTCCAGTGAGGTGGTGGCACTTCCATCCTTAGAGGTAGACAAAGCCTGGGCGGGGGCGATACGAGGTGCTCAGGAAGGCGAGATCTAGCACTGTGAGAAAGAGGCACGCTCCACGGGAACGCCTGCGCTGCGGGAGTAAGGAAACACCGCCTCCCCGTGCGGCTGCCCGGCGCACTGTGGTGCCACGCACGCGAGGCGCACAGGGCTGCAAGTGAAGGCCCAGCCCAGCAAAGTCCATTCACTTCTGCTTGGGCCCTACACTGGGCAGCACAGCCCGTACCCTGGCCTGCTAGTAGAGCTTCCCACTTAGCAGGAGAGAGGTGCTCTGGGCTGCCGGGGATGAAGCAGGGAACCGCATGCACCCCTCTTTTGAAAACCCCAGATGTGCCCATGCCGTCACCCACGGGGGTGGGGGGGCGGGCGGGCTGGCTGCCTCCTGGGGGCCGGGCCGGGCCGGGCGGGCTCCTCACCTGGTAGC